TGAATAGTATTCCAGTGTATGGGTATACTATAGTTTTTTTATCTATTCACCTGTTGAGGGACATATCTATTCACCTGTTGAGGGAATGTTGCTTTTAGCTTTTGGTTATTACAAATAAAGCTGCTTTCAACATTGGCATACAAATTTTTGTGTGAACATATCTATTCATTTCACTTGGGTAAATACTTAGGAGTGGAATGGCTAGATCATGTAACAGGCATGTGTTTAGCTTTTTAAGAAACTGCCAAACTGTTTTTCCAAAATGGTTGTCTTATTTTACATTTCTACTGGCAGCATGTGAGTATTGCGGTTTCTGCACACCCTCCCCACCAGTTGGTATGGTCAGTCTTTTAAAGTTCAGTCATTCTATTAGGTGTGTAGTATGTGCTAAAGTGATTTGAGGCCAGGCACAGTGACTCTTGCCTGTAATCCCAGCACTCTGGGAGGCCGAGGTGTGTGGATCACCTGAAGTCAGAAGTTTGAGACCAGCCCGGCCAACTTGCTGAAACCTCTTTTCTACTAAAAATACAAAATTAGCTGGGTGTAGTGGTGCGTGCCTGTAATCCCAGCTACTTAGGACGCTGAGGCAGAAGAATTGCTTGAACCCAGGAGGCAGAGGTTGCAGTGAGCCAAGATTGTACCACTGCTCTCCAGCCTGGGCAAAAAGAGCAAAACTCGGTCTCAAAAAAAAAAAAAAAAAAAAAGTGACTTGAATGCCAAAAAAATCTCAGGCCATGTGGATCTAGCTTGCATACACTTCCCAATCATTGATTAATAGTTTTGTAAATATTTTCCAAGGTTTTTGAGACATTTTTAATTCTTAATAAAGATGGCACATTCTTCAACAGCAATGATGGGGATTTTAATTTTTTTGATATTTTTTAAAAGCACTGTAGACTGCCCAGTGAGAATATTTTCTTCCTATCCTTCCCCCAACAAATTCTCCAAACTACTTCATGTCCATATTTACATCCAGTCAAATAAACATAGCTTTGGAGGATTTTACAAATTAAAAGGCCATTCCGCTAATATGTCCCGATAACATCGGTAATTTCTGTTGGTTTTGTCTTCACATCATTAGGCCAGTTCTTACATTCACTGCAAAGGCAGCTCCAGCAGGAAGATTAGAGACTTGGGGTGACTGGAGGCAAAATATGTTTGGAATGTTCTTGCAGCTACTTCTTAAATAGAAATAACCTACACAATGCAATTCTTCCCAGAGACATCCTGATTTGCATCCCCAGAATCACACTCAATCTCGTACAAGACAGAGGGCCTGGCTAACTCTGCTAAGGAGGAAAAAATATATAGAACGTTAAATAGCAGGGAAGACCAGAACAATTTCTAAAAATAAACACTAATTAGATACACTTTTTAAAAACAATGCTTAGTTCCTTGTTTTCCCGTCAATGTTAATTTATCATGTTACTGCCTGTGATTAATAAACCCTTTTTATCAGTGTTAACAACTTGATAATTTATAAAATACTTTTAGCGGCATTATTGCACTACATCTATAAGGAATACCCATTTTTAGAAATTAACAAAAAATGTAGAAAGAATGCCCATTTTTAAAGATTAATAAAAAACAAAAAAATGGGAGTCTTAGAAAAGTTAAGTAGCGTATCCAAGCAGCCCCTATTCGTTTGCCATGGCTGTGTAAAAAATGACCTCAGAGTTAGCTCTATGGTTTGAATGCCTGTTCTCACCAAAACCTCCACTGAAATGGAATCCCTAATGTAAAAGGTAGGGCCTTTAAGAAGTATGTGGGTCATGCCACTTTGCCTTCGTGGGTGGATTAATGAGTTAATGGATTAACGGGTTACCACGAGAATGGTTCTGTTACAAAAGCCAGGTCGGCTCTCAGTGTGCTGCCTCCACCCCATGTGATGCCATTTACCATGTTATGATACAGCATGTGGCCCTTGCCAGATTCAGCTGCCTGATCTTGAACTTCCTAGCCTCCAATACTGCTAAATAAACCTCTTTTCAAAACTAAATTATCTAGTCTTGGGTATTTAGTTACAGCAACAGGAAACAGACTAAGACACTTAGCAACTTTAAAGAACACTAATTTATTATACCATAGTGTCCATGAGTCAGGAATTCAGGCATGAATTAACTGGGTCCTCTGCTCTAAAATCAAGGCAGGGGCTGCAACTTCATGTAAGGCTTTGATTTCTCTTCCAAGCTCACGTGCTTGCTGGAGGAATTCAGTTCCCTGCAGTTGCTGTTTTGTCTTAGAACTTGAGTTGCAAGTTTTCTTGCTGGCTATCCGCTAGGATCATCTCAGCTCCTAGAGGCTGTCCTTGAGTCCTAGTCACACGACCATCTCACAACACAGTAGATTATTTCTTCAAACCCAGCAGGAGATGCTCCAGTCAGCTATGATGGAGTCTTAATGTAAAGCAATGGGAGTGACTAACCCAGCACCTTTGCCATTTAACAGAAACTAATCAAGGGAGCCACTATCCCACCATATTAATGAGCCCCACACACTCTCAAGGGGAGGAGACTATACAGAGTGTATGCACCAGGGAGCAGGAATCTTGGGATCCATCTTAGAATCCTGCCCTTCACAGATCTGCAGATAATAAACTGTAAGGATCAGAGTGCGGGTGTAGATGATCCAACAGTTTTCCATGGGTGTTTAAGAGATGTGTCATCAAGAGGCCTTGAGCACCTATATACCCACGCTTTATCACATCTATTTCCCCTGTAGAGCTCCTTGTCAACATCAGTGAGTCCCCAGTTCCCCCAGTAGAAAACACAGTTGAAGCATATTCAGCAGGACCTGGATCACATGACTTGACCTTAGTTTGGACGAGTCTGAGGTGGCTCAGGAAGATATCCTGAGTGCCAGAAAACAGCGCCACTGATGGTGCCACGCTCCCTGGGTTGCCAACAGCATTTTTTCACCCAGTACACAGATAGACAGGCCAGTCTGCGTGTGGCTGCCGATTCCCTTTGAGGAGCTGCCATCCTTTGCTTCTTCACTTCATAGTTGTATTAGTTTGTTCTCATGCTGCTAATAAAGACATACCTGAGACCAGATAATTTATAAAGAAAAGATGTTTAATTGACTCACAGTTCTACATGGCTGGGGAGGCCTTACATTCATGACGGAAGGCAAATGAGGAGCAAAGTCACATCTTACATGGTGGCAGGCCAGAAAGCGTGTGTAAGGGAACTTTCCTTTGTAAAACCATCAGATCTCATGAGACTTACTATCACGAGAACAGTATGGGAAAGACTCTTCCCCATGATTCAATTATCTCCCACCAGGTCCCTCTCATGACACATGGGAATTACGGGAGCTAAAATTCAAGATGAGATTTGGGTGGGGACACAGCCAAACCATATCAATAGTCTTCCCAGTGACTTTATTGAGAATATAGCACCACCTTCCCCTCTTTCTCAATTTCCAATCACAGTTCAGAGAATCTTTCTCCATGTCCAGCAATCTTATGTCAGTCATCTTATGACATGGTCCCATCGCCTAGAATTATCCTTCCATTGAAGTCATCACTAGCCACTCAACAATATTTGTTCTCTCCTTCCTTGGGCACAAAGCTAAAGTATATTCCCCAACCTCTCTTGCAGTGAGGTTTGGCCACATGGCTAGGTTCTCTGCAATGGAGATGAGGTAATATGGGTCACTTCCTGCTCTGGCCCATAAAAACTCTCCACACTTGCTTTTTCATGTTCTTTCCCCTTGCTTTGGCTAGCTGCAGATCTTGGTGAGGTCTTTGGGGATGAAGAAGCCACAGACAGAGGGAACCTGGGAGAAAAGTTGATCCTTCAACCTGTGCTCCCTCTCAGAATAGCTACATGAGAAATACAGTCTTCTATGGTGTTGAGGCATTGCCCATGTGGTCTATTTGTGGCCTCAGCCTAACCTGCACTAACATGTTCAATTGTACTTCCCTACTTCCTAGCCCAGTGCTCATCACAAAGTAAGCAACTAGTCAAAGAATGAATCAGTAGATATTTGTCTGTCTGAGCATCCTATTGTATTCTATTCACTTTCTTCTAGCAACTCAATGGAATTTCATTATAGCAAACAATAAATGCTCCATTAAAACCTTTAATGTCAGCATTGAATGTTCTGGGTATTGATCATAGATCACCTTGATATTACATTAGATTTCTTGACCAATTTCATCACCTGTAAGTCATTTGCCTATCTGGGGGCTAAGAACTGCTGTGGCAGGTTGCCAAGCACCCTAGTTTCAACTTGGACCCTTCTGGTTTATAATAATACCTATCATTTATCAAATGCATAAAATAGGCCAGCCAGACTGCACCATACACACACACACACACACACACACACACACACACACACACACATTTTTCATCCAAACAACAAAAAACCTGTGATACTGGTATGACTATCATCATATTATCATATTGGTATTACTATCATAAGAACCAAGGATCCGAAGTTGAGGAATTATGCAGTGTCAGGAGGTGGTAAAGCAGGCCTCAGACCCAGGTGCTCTTTCATCTCTCTGTACAGACTTCCCATCTACTGCTGTCCCACACTTCAAGGTTTCACTGCCACTGAGCCATCTGCCTTCTTCACCAGGAGTAACACAGTCACTGCAAGCCCATATGGCACCTTTGTATGAATTAGAACAAGGACCCCTACATCAAGACACTTTGATGATATATACCAGAAATTTGTTGGAACAAACACACAACTTTTCTATATCAATAATCTATATCTGTATCTTTATCTATATCTTTATCTATAATGTACATGGTAGTGCTCCTTAAGTTGTTCAGTGTTCAACCCCTATAACTGTGTGGAGTTGCCCTGGGGCGGGGGCGGGGGGAACAGCAAATGGTCATGTAGGTTCTGAGGCAGGTTTTAACACAACTGGTCTATAGTGAAGCTACTGGTGCTCAGACGACTCATTTTCTATAGGAGTTTGGTGGTTCTGTCTCCCTATTCTAATAAAAATAAAAATAATTTAAAAACCTGTCACAGATGACTCAAGAAGAAGACTGCTTTATTGTCTTCCCCAGCTTCTATTCCTTTGATTGCGAACTCTACCTAGGAGTAGCTACCTGGACCATGTAGCTCATTTTACTCCTTCCAGAAATGCTGTGGGGCTCTGAAGTTACTAACTTCAGGCAAGCGTAGAAGGAAGCATGCGCTGTCCTCACTGGCAGAGTCAGCAGCAGCAGAGTGGCAGACGATGCAGCCAAACCTTCCCTTAATGCTGACCTGGCGACTGCATTGTCCCTTCTTTATTCTGCAAACTGCAAAGAGAAATGAGGGAAAATGAGTTCATTGGTGTATCTTTAAATGAATCAAACATGTATTTGTTCACCAAGGCAGTGTATTAAGTGGAGCCTGAGAACAAAGGAGATGAGATAGTGTTAAAAACTATTAGTTAACAATAATACATTGTTTCAAATAGCAAGATGGATGTTGAATGTTCCCAACACAAAGAAATGATAAATGTTTGAGATGATAGATATGCCAATTACCTTGATCAATATATGTATTAAAATATCACTATGTACCCCATGAATATGTACAATTATTATTTGTCAACTTCAAAAGTAAAATAAAAATCATGTTATAGAGAAAAAAACTCCAATATAGTAACTAAAGAACTTGAAAGGTTGAGGGAAGTAGAATTCCCAGCGCTGCTGCCCATATTCATAATCAGCAGTGTTTCTAGTTTCTTAATCTAGAAAATAAAATTGGATGTGGATTTTTCTGCTTTAGGAACATAATTGCTTCAGAGCAGAATGAATTATTAAAGTTAACACTAAGTCATCTGGAAAGAGGCATTTAGGCTCTGACATCTGGATGACTAGCAGCCACCAGAGGTTACTTAGCCTCTGTGAACCCTGGTTTTCTCATCTGTGTAATGGGAAAAGGAGTACCTACTTCATAGGGTTGTTGTGAAAACTAAGTAAGAAAATTAATATAAACCATTTATCTAAGCCTCCTTCATTTAGCAGGCACCAGTAAGTACTAGTTATTACTATTAACCTAATAATAATAATAATAACAACATAAAACATATTAAGCCCACCTTCCCCGAGGGTGACAAGACATTTCTTCCCATTATCTTATGGCATTTAGCAAAGTTTCTCCCAAAACTTGACACTTACACCTTGAAAGAAATTCTGAAGGAATGAACAACTATAGTGAATAATTAATATTAATTCTTGTTTTTTTTGTTTTTGTTTTTTTTTTTGTTTTTTTTTTTTGAGACAGAGTCTTGCTCCGTTGCCCAGGCTGGAGTGCAGTGGTGTCATCTCAGATCATTGCAAGCTCTGCCTCCTGGGCTCACGCCATTCTCCTGCCTCAGCCTCCCCAGTAGCTGGGACTACCGGCGCCCGCCACCACACCTGGCTAATTTTTTTTGTATTTTTAGTAGAGATGGAGTTTCATCATGTTAGCCAGGATGGTCTCGATCTCCTGACTTTGTGATCCGCCTGCCTCAGCCTCCCAAAGTGCTGGGATTACAGGCGTGAGCCACTGCGCCCAGCCAAGTGAATAATTAATTCTATAACATGTGATACAAAATTTGTATGCAAAAATCACTACTTGCCACATCCATGCCCTCCAACTCTCCTGGCATGGATTAAGGTAGCAATTTTAACAGAGTACAGTCTTCTGAGCCTGAGAGATAAAGAATAACAGTCCATTGAAACGAACTACCATGAGGAGGGGGAATTTGGATAGACTCTTACTAGTAAATTGTGGCGGTCTCTTTGGACCTGAGAGTCGGGTTCTCCTAGCTGCCCACTCCTATACTTCTGCGGTCTGATCTGGATTTAGACATGGGACTATGCACCCAGAGAGAAAGAGAACTGGGAGTCTAGATTTAGCCAGGGAAAGGTGAGGCTGGACTCAGGTCTGAGTGCATTCTGCATTACCTCTTCTCTACTAGTCCTCAGTAAAAATAAGAGATACAGATTGAAAAGTTTCTGAGTTGATTTTACATTCGAATGTGATGCAAATGTAGTTATACAAATGGCTATTTGTTCAGGTAGAACAGATCTGAAAGAAAAAATGGTAGGATGAAATGGAGGAGTAAAAGACACTCCCTATAACTGAACAGCAGTGAGCTTCTAAAGGTCCAGAGCTACCCCAGTTTGATTGTAGAGGCTGTGCAGTGTGCAACCTAAACAACTGTACATGATGATCCTGAATGGGTCTAAAATTCCGTTCATATGCTTACTTCCACAAATGTCAAAGGCACACCTAGTTGTGCTATCTCAAAGGTATCCATGCCTCCCTCCCAGTCTGCTCTGTTTAGGTTACAAGGTCCAGCCTGAAGCCCCATGGGGTTGGAAAACTCAAAGGGACTCCTAAGTTTGAGGATCATTCTAGATAGCAGGCAGCACTGGGGACCATTATAGTATTGTTGCTCCTTTGAGTCCTATTCTACAGCAACTTCGCACTCTGGAGGCTGCCAGTTACAAGCCATAGAAGGCAGAGGGTTGTGTTCTTGGTGAAACAAATCCCTGGGCCCTGCATGCTCACTCCTCCTGACAGCATGGCTGTGGTGGTACCCTGCATTTTTCTCTGTTTAGTAGATGGAATACAGCCTAAAGCCAGAAATGAGAGATGCACACTTGCTACTGAAATCTCAGGGCTGATGTCAAGTTGATGTCCTGGCCTAATATAGAAAAGGGAGACTCTCTATTTTTCAGATAACTTGTGTTTCTCTATAGAGGAGGTGGGGTTGGCAACGCATCACCTGTTGCCTGCTTGGAATGACTATGCCCTTGGCCAACAGCAGGCAAAACCGTGGCAAATGTGCCAGCAACACCATGCTACTTGTAGGTGGATGGCCTTCAAGAGGGAAAGAAAATCAGGAGCTCTTCTTTCTTCCAGGTTCTGAAGCAGGGCAACAGGGGAAGCATATATTATGGTGCCAGCATAAGTAAAAATGTTCCATGTTACTTTTTTGTACTATACTATTCTATATTATGTCATACTGTTTTATATTATGTTAATTAATCATATCATATGCCATGTCACCTTTATGTCATATCATATGGTACATGTGACAGGATGATATAATACTCTTTTAAGGGGGAAAATTTATCTGAAACTTGAATAAACCCCTTAGGAAATTCCAATCATGATTTTTTTTTTTCTCTTTGTTTTTGTTTACATGTTACCTTTGCCTCTTTCTTTGGCAGTTTGATATTGAGGTTAATATTAAAAGGATGCTATGAAGAATCCTACAAAACTGTAAAAGACAAGAAAATGACAGGATGCTTTCTGGGTCAGGCTGAGCTTGTTGTGAAAATGGAGTCCCTGCAAAGTTTGATAATGGGATGATGAAGCAGAGAGATGCAGGAGTTAATGACACTGAAGAGAGCTTGGGGAGTGGTGATGGGGTGAGGAAAAGGAGAGTGGAGCTGCACATGGGGAGTGGGGAAGAAGGAGGTTGCTAGGCAACTTCCCAGGGGCAGGAGAGAGAAATCCTGAGGGAGGAGGTGCTTTTGGAAGCGCTGTGGATTGCCATGGGCAGCTATCTGTGGCCAGAACAGACAGACCCGAGAGGTGGGTCACCTAGTTGGCAGCCAACTGTTTGCCCGAAGCTGCTTCCTGCAATAATAAACAGTCAGGAGAAGTCAAGGGTATACAGCCCAAGCACTGCGGCAAACCATCTGAGCAGTAGCTGGGGTGCAAAATAAGAGCAGAAGCTGTTCATTCTACAACCTGTGCCCTGGAGGAGATAATGGCATGGCCAGTGGTGCCTAGGGTTGTGGTTTGCAAACGCATTCATTGACTGCCAAATAGGTACCAGGTATTACTCACTGGGAGGAACAAAGGTTAAACCAGACATGATTCTTGTCCATAGCAGCTCTTCATCTCATAGGGGAGAAAGGCCTAAAGACATGTGCGTTGCTAATTAGCTATAGTCAGTGGGTATAAAACAAAGCCTAATTATTGAGAATTTGGACTATGGAGCCAGGTTCAAATCCCAGTCTGCATCGCACTAGCTATGTGCTCTGGGAAAACAGGACCTTGTGGAAGTTACTTAATCTCTCATTTGTAAAACACGAATGATCATTGTACCTATGTCATAGGGTTGCTATGAGAACGTTCAAATGAGTTGACAATTGTAAAGTGCTGAGGATAATGTCTAGCAAATAGTGAGGTTTGTTTGATAAGTTCTGCATAGGATCCAAAGAATCAGGGCTAGGAGTGCAGCATTGAATGTGGCGTAAGTACCTTGCCACGCATCCGTACTTCTATAAAGGTGATGCCCAGCTAGGGAACACTTGTGATGCTGGGGCTTACCAGCTTCCTGACTTTTCTATCAAATGGTTCTTTGATTATCCTATTGCATGTTTCACATTGTTGTAAGACACCTTCTCTGGGTGGAGGAAATCACGTCTTTCAAACTCAGATATGCAGCCTAAGGCAGAACTAGTTCTGAAAAGCATAGTTACCAGTTTCCTCAGCTCTCCTTCTTGTCTTCTTTTCTGTCACCTGGAATGGGGAAGAATACATGCCTTTCATGCTACATTTCCTTTGCCGTCAGTAGGGTCCTGCCCTAGCTCTCTTGTCTGCACAGGGTCCCTTTCCCTTCTCCATCTATAAAACCCTGAAGGCTGCCTGCAATTTTTCCCAGAAATTCATTTAGGTGTTTGGGATGCACATATCATCAGCCTTGTGTTTCCAACTTTCCTGGCCAGGTAAGCATGTTGCCTGTTCAACAAAAATCAATTTAGATCCACAGATCAGCACGTGATGTTCTTATTATCCCAGCCCTGCCTCCCTGCAAGAGTCTCCATGATACTTCGCTGGCAGGATCCAGGGCCAGCCAATTGCCACATAGAGAGACAACTCCAATGTCAGCTGTGCAAAAGACGGTTTTTTTGGCGTAAACACTTTGCAGAAGACAGAGGCGAAAAATGTCCTAAAACAGGAAGAAACACAGTCTTGAAGACCCATTTCTTCTGCCCTGGGATGCCCTCCCTATAGTCCCCAATCTGTCCACAGAGCCATCTGGGGCCATCACTCCAGTGTCCCAGTGGCCAGGTCCACGCAGTCTGCATGCTCATTCTACCCTCAGGATTTTCCATGACAGGGATAGTTAGCAGACTATTCAAACTTCCAGTTTTCTGTCTCCAAAGAGCCTTTTATGGTCAACTCAGATAAAGGCTAAGATTCAGTTCTCTCATTTGATTCTGCGTCTGAGGACATTTGACAGAACGGGCAGAGATTTCTCTCTAAATGCCTAAGTCTCGCGGTAAACCATAATTTTTGCATT